TCATTTTTGCTTCTTGTCTCAAATGCATTAAAAATACTAGTATAAATGAAGAGGGATTGAAGAGTAATAATTCTGAATGTTTTTATAGCAGTTGTTTCATGTGTTTTCTCCAAAGAACCAGTTACTTGTATAATTAAATTCTAAGTATTAAATTCTTTTAATTAATCTTCAGTTTCTTTTTTAATTAATGTGATACACGTTTTCAGTTTTCAAACAATAAATATATGGTATTAGTTAGAAAAGGTTCTCAAAGATTTTCCTTTATAACCATCTTAGAGTTAAAATTTTGATTGAGTTTAATATTTATGCACTAAGATTGTAAAATATATTTAAATAAGACAAATAATCGGCAATATTCATTGTTTACTTTTTCTAATCATATACATAGATTATACATTGGTTATATATAGTTATACACATATAATACATATATTATGCATATATTATACATCCACCTACTATTTTTTGTTTAAATGGATGAGTGTAAACGAAGCAAGGTGTCTCTTGATCAGCCCCCTGGAAGATTCGGGGACTGTAGAGACGAAGCAGATGATTGAGGGTGAACCGAGGTACTTCGGTGTTGTTTACGAAGTGGCGGAGAAGGATTATAATCCTCCAAAAGGACGAGTGAATCTGCCCAAGGAAAACCTCGTACCTTTTGTGGAAGCCGAGGATTATAGGGTTCACCGGGGCGAGCGTGAAGGGGTAAATGTAAATACTTAGATACCCCTCCACGTGAGTGTTGATATCTTCGTTGGGCCCGGGAACGACCACCTCCTTGCCTCCCAGTTGCAGTCCACCCGAACTGTGGGAAATGTGTCCTTTGTAACGGAGCATATGTACCTCCATACTCCCTCACCTCGGTCCTGTTGGCTGGAGGCCTTCTTGACTTTGTAGTCGTTTTCAATGGAACAGCCCCATGGAACAAAATTCTTCAAGGGCGGCTCTGGGACCACCTCGGCATCTATGGCTGGGTTGGAAGTTGAATGGGCGGTTTACTGAGGCACGAATTTGAAAGTTTTTGCCATCGGATTTTGAAAAAGATGAAGGTTTGAAGAAAAATATGAAGGTTTGAAGATGAGGATTAAGATTAGAAGATGGGGATGAAGGTATGAAGGTCTGGATTTAAGCTTTAAAGAACAAGTACGAAGATTTGAAGATGAAGAGATGAAGATATAGGAAGCAATGTATGAAGATTTAAAGGAGGTAGAGTTAAGTAGAGAATTCGAGGGTAAATCGAAGAGCTCTGGAATCAGAAACTAAAAAAGTGAAAAAGGGGTTGGAGCTTTTATAGAAGAAGAATAATCAATGTGCGACATTTCGCATTTGAGGACAGTCAACCGGCGGCTGACACGTATCCGAAGTCAGAACGAAGCGACTGATAGGATGTTGAGCTGACCCGTCAACTCGGTTGTAACGTACGAAAGAAGGAACCAGGGTTAATTATCACTTTCTGTCTCTTCGATAAATTTACTCTTCGGAAAACGAGGGAACTATCTGTGTACGCGTAACATCGGGGGCAAAGTTTTTCTCGATTCCCCGATGAGAAAACGATGGGGAAGCATGGATCGGCGTGATTATAATCGAGGCCAGGAACCCCTCATATCGAGATCGGGAAAGAATGAACGATGTATCTGGGATCGGATACGGTAAAGCGACGTACCCCGGATCAAGTATTGCTTCTCGACCTCGGGAGACTCGGTGAACAGTTATGCATGACGGATAGGGGGCCGTAATATTCGTTCTCAACCGGATATTACGGCGCGAATCCCGTTCAGTATCAATTGTAGATCAACAATTACCGGAAGATTTTTTTTAAACATTTTTTAGACTAGTAATAGGACTGAAATTCTCCTACTATATAAATGAGAAGTTTTTCTTTGATCTGACACATTGTCACACGCAATTCAAAGCAATAAAACTTTACCTTTGTCTTCTAGCTACTGTTCAATTCATTACTCACTTGTTCTTTTCTTCGCAACTGAGCTCGTACCGAGGGTCCAATCGAGGACAAGTCCACTATTCAATCTAAAATAAAGCTTGGTCATTACATTGCGATTGGTTTGATCGTTTGTTTTGTCTTTAATTCATCTATTTTTATTCTTAATTATTTGTATTGAATTAAACTACGTATCCTTTAAACCGCATATAAATTTAACTGTTACTCATTTTTGGGGTAAACAATTTGACGCCCACAGTAGGACTAAGGATAATAGTGGTGATTTGATACGAATCTCCATAAAGAGTCATGTATAACAATACATTTGTCCTCGTCCCTCAAATGTTTGATCCTATAAAACTGAAAAAAGTAACGAAAAATATCATCATTAAGTAGAAATTAAAACTATTTACCGATACACTTAGGTAATTTCATTGAAGAAAAAACAAATGAGCTTTTTTTTTTTTCTGAAAAATTCTTCGGGGAATAAACTTGCAACCACTATATATATTTCGAGTGCGGATAGAGTAACTAGCTCATTATGCAATAGCTCGTAAACCACACAAAAAATATAAACCGGACTAAACATGTTCGGCCGGTGCAACAAACTCAGACTTGGTATGTTTGGTGTGGAGTGTAAAGAACNAGGGGTGCTCTATAAGCTGGTTTTCACACTGTTCTGCCTCTGCATCTGTTTTAAAAAAAAAAAAAAGTCAAAACATTATATTTAATATTTTCTCATTTACAAAATAAATGAACTTTCAAAAAAGATTAAATACTCACATAGTGATGCAAAAGTGAAGATCATAAAAGCCAAAAGGACAATGATTCGTGATGTAGTCATTTTTGCTTCTTGTCTCAAATGCATTAAAAATACTAGTATAAATGAAGAGGGATTGAAGAGTAATAATTCTGAATGTTTTTATAGCAGGTGTTTCATGTGTTTTCTCCAAAGAACCAGTTACTTGTAAAATTAAATTCTTTAATTAATCTTCAGTTTCTTTTTTATTTAATGTGACACACGTTTTCAGTTTTCGAACAATAAATATATGGTATTAATTAGAAAAGGTCCTCAAAGAATTTCCTTTATAACCATCTTAGAGTTAAAATTTATATTGAGTTTAATATTTGTGCCATAAACGTTGTAAAATATATTTAAATATTAAGGTATTGGTTGATATCGTAGAATTATTAACCGGTAAATAGCGCCGGATTCGAACCAGCTACCTAAGGATTTCAGTAAGAATACTACAGTCCTCCGCTATACCAACTGAGTTAAGGTCGGTTTGTTGAATTTTATCCATACATGTCAGTATTTGAAGATCTTCAACAGCCATGACTTTGTCCACCATTTTAAGAACGTGAATCCCAGGATTAAAATTTTGGTTTTTCACAATAATTCGTTGACTTTTTTTTGGACGTAAATACATGTTTGATTTTGCCTATATACAGCAATTCAGAAAGAAGCCTTAGATCAACGGTAAAATTGTCTTTGTATAACCTATAGGTTACAGGTTCGATTCGCAGAACCAATAATTGATGCTCGCATCAGAGTAGACTGCCTACATTACACCCCTTGGGGAGTAGACCTTGCGTGAACGTAGAATACTTCGTGCACCGGAATGCCTAGCAATTCTTGCTTTTGAAGAAGCTCAAAAATGTCATTGATGGAATCGGATGCAATAAACGATAATGCAAGGTTTGAGGTGTGTCAATGGAGATCATGATATATATGTTATTCCTTTGCCTTTGATTAGTATCTATCTTATACGTGCAGTGGCATATTCTATGGAGGATAAAATTAAACAGATAGTTCAAAACATCCACTAACTTCCACACAGGACCACTGCAGCGGTTACAAGCACAGTTTTGTCTTGACATTTTTCATTGTTTAATTGTAAAGTGAATAAGTTAGTAAATGGAGAGAGACGGATCTAAAATTTAAACGATATACACTTAAGTAAACAAATGAAAGATGAAGTATAATCTGCATAATTTCTATTTTATCCAACAAATAAACTTGACTTATTTGAACAAGTGAAAATGAAATTTTTGAATTATAGGTAGATTTGCCAAACTAGTTGGCATTTGTTTTATATTTCCCAAATACTGAGTTTGCATTTGAGTTTCTGAAAAGGTATTTATTTAAACTTTTTTTTGCTAAAAAGAAATTAAAATGAACATTAATTTTTTTTAAGCGCCTAACACGGCCGAGTGTCCACCGTTAAACTGTGTAAATTGGTCACAGTATAACTGGTAACCAAAACAGACTTTATATTTCTAGTAGGATACTTGTTTTCTAGTTTTTTTACCATTCGAAATTCAAAATTTATTGACTTGATTAATTTACATTAACGTCTGAATTAAAGAAGGAAGAATTTATTATTATAAATTTCTTTATTTTCAGGGTGTAAATCCAATAACTTTAATATTAAATGAAGGAATATCATTCATCCATCACATCTCTTAGTAGTACGATATTTTTTCTCTACTACAATGCCTAAAATCTTTTGCTACTTACATTATAACATTGACTTTTCTGACCTAGCCTTGTCTTTTTCATGCACACAAAAAAATCTTGGTAATTCAAATATGAGGTCAATTCCAGTGACTTTTTCTTCAAGATTGACAAAGAAAGTCATGAAAATCCCAAGAGGATAAGAAAGGACTGTCCAACAAAGGAAAAAAGAATCATCCAAAAGAGAAAGAAATATCAGAATTAATCCAATTTCTGATATGATCACAGTTGGAATTATTGCGCTCATATATATATATATATATATATATATATATATATATATATATATATATATCCTTGTACTGGAACAAAATTCAAAGAAAGGAATAAAAGTATTTTCCTACTATATTCAAAAATCAAAACCTACCTCAAGACTACATTGATAACAACGCCTTCATTACAAAATCAGTACGTATTTAATATCATCAAACATGTACACCATAGTAAATGCTTCCTAACTGCCTTAT